TTTTTTTTTTTTTTTTTTTTGCTCAAGGCTAGCACTCTACACAAGGCAGCACTACTTCCAGCCTTTTCTGTTTATGTGGTACTGAGGAATCGACCCAGGGCTTCATGTATACTAGGCAAGCACTCTACCACTAAGCCACATTCCCAGCCCCCAAAAAACAATTTTTGTGTGTGTATACCAGTATTGGGGCTTGAAGTAGAGTCCTAGGCACTGTCCCTTAGCTTTTTCTCTCAGGACTGGCACTCTATAATTTGAACCACAGCTCTGCTTCCAGCTTTTTGGTGGTTAAATTGGAGATGAGAGTCTCATGGACTGTACTGCTAGAGTTGACTTTGAACCAAGATTCTCAAATCTCAGCTTCCTGAGGAGCCAGAATTACAAACATGAACTATGGGCATCTGACAATTTGTCTTAATTGACCTATCCAGAAATTAATTTTAGCATGTTAGTTTCAATGTATAGATAGGAAATGAATGATGGCCCTCTCTGGTCCAGTGTTTTAGGTACTAGTACAAGCTTGCACATAGTATGTATGCTTAGAGACCAAAACTAAAAGGAATCTGACCACCTGCTCAGCATTGACATTGTGCTTTACACATGTCAGATTCTCAGGGGTGCTATGATATGGTGAAACATGATATCACCTAGATTTCAATCCTAGCCTTGTCTCTTACTAATTGAATGACCTTGTACAAATTCTGAGCCTTCATTTTCTAAGAAAATATTAAAATGGTGATAATTGTTTGTATATAAATTATTAAACATACTTGAAAATCTTTTTTCCATAGAAAATAGTAGTACTAGTAGTATGAAGGAATAAGATACAGATACAATATAGACATTGTCCTTGTGTCCTTAAGTACTGACTTATTAAATAACAATACCTAATTAATAATATTTGCAAGTTAAAAGCTGTTTTCACGTAGACAACACATAACAGTTGAATTACAAGCTAGAAAGCACAGTCTTCATAAGAAAATAATTTTTGGTGATACTATATATTCAACTCAGTACTTCCCAATTGCTGGGTAAGCACCCTATTACTTGAGCCACGGCTCAAATTCTTTTGCTTTTTGGTTTGCTTTTCAGATGGGGTGTCTTGTTTTTGCCTATGCTAGCCTCAGACCATGATCTTCCTCCCTCTGCCTCCCAAATAGCTAAGACTGCTAACTTTTGCCCAGGTTTTAGCCTGGAACATGTAATCCTTCTGTCTCT